GAAAGAGGCAAGAATTGACAAGAAAATGAACGAAATCTGGTGATTGAGGTCAATTTTCTAGAAAAAGTAGATAAGATTTAGGCGTTTTGATTTGTAAACCAGAGAGTCGAGAAATGTAAGTTGTGTTATTCAAAAGGTTGTGATAGCACTTAAGTCCGTCTAGGAGATTAATAAATATTTTGATGCTTTCTCCGTGATAGGATCGTGACCATGGGTTAGGGCTAAATTGATTTACAAACGGTTTAAAAATTAGTACATTCTCAGTTCAAGAAAATTATTTTTTTAGTCAATTTCGATCCTACGATAAAGTTGCTATCATGAGTTGCATTGTGGATCTGAAATAAATCAAATAGTTTTTGGTCGGAATTTCATAAAAAAATTAATGGAGAACGCATTACTATTTTTATTTATTGCAGATCCGCATTTGACTCTCATACACATCCTTTTCCACATTCAACGCAAGATACATTTGTGATATTTGCTTTAATTCCGTACTGAGCAAAGAAGTATTTGAAATTAACTTTCATTGGTTGAAACCCACATTTATGTCCATTCGTAATTCTAGTTTCAATTACATCGTACATTTTTTGTGTGAAAGAGAGTAGAATATCAGATTACTGCTCATCTCTAGCTTATATATTGCGCAGGTAATTCCCTATGCATTAAACACCGAAGTACAAGGTAGCTCATGCAAAGATTATTCAAATTTTAATTCCAACTATTTTTACTCCTGTAACTTTATTTATGTTTCTGATTTATTTTCTAATTTTAGCAATATACAATGGAGTGTTCCAGTGAATTTGAAAAATTCTGGAAAATTGTTACTATACTTCTATTGATTTTGGGAATTACCACTATAATTGCAGGCGCAGTTTTGATTGGCCAAACTAAACACGATATGGACAATTTCACAGCTACTGTAGATCAGGCAAAGTAAGTAGCCAGTAAATGTTTTTGTAAACAGATTAGAATTGATTGAAGTCCTAACAAATCTCTTATAACTGAATTAATGCAACCTTCACATATTTATTACTCAACGCAAGACAAAATTTTATGGGTCTAGTATAAAAAGTCTAATGATTGTTTAAGAGGAGTTATATGTGATTACAAAAATTTTCCCCTACTCAAATTCTAAGATTTAATACTGTTTCACCATTTCTTATTTTGAATATATTACAATTTAACCTTCGAGATTGTGGTAGCAATGATGTTTTTAGTTAATAAAAATCACTTATCTGGTTTTAATAATTGAAAGTCTTTTCTTTGTCTATTTATTAAATTTAATTCAGCCAGCATTTATCACCTAGTACTACTCGCAAGAAAAGATGCATAAGAATGTTGCTACAATTCAAAAATGTTGTCAGTTAGATTTTTTCTTATAAAATTCATAATTATCAAATCTCTTTATTTCCTTTTATGTATATTGTAATTTATTACAGACGAAACATGATATTAAAAATTGAAAATATAAACCTATATTATGAAAAAAATTTCATTCACATTATTTTGAAATGAACAAAGTAAATAAATGCGTAAATATGCACAATTTATAGAATTTTTTTCAGGTCTATTTAAAATATTTATTTACATCAAATGGCGGGCGTTTTGCTATTTATAATTAGCCATTTAGTTGACTTCATGCTCCACAGAGGGGAACGAACATCAGAGTCAAAAAAGTCGAGAGGGCGAGGGGGGGGGGGAACAGAAGAGTGTTTCAAAGATGTAAAAGAGACAGACACAAAGGTAGGGAGAATAGGTGTGGTGAATACTGTAGAAGTAGTCAAATATGACATACAGTGGGGCCATGATAGTTTAAACTCAGAAGTCAACTGCCGATTTATAGAATTTTTTGCCGTAAGAATATACATTGACCAGGGTGCACCACGTGGAGGTAAGTCTATCGCACAAACCAGTTTTAAAATATAAAAACAGGCTCAAACGAATTTTAACGATTTAATATTGAACCACTTTTAAATGCCCAAAAAATTTCTATGAGGTGAAATTTAGTGAGCATCATTATAGTGAAACGTTTTAACCCGTTAGTAGTTAGATGAGTAGAAATGAAATTGTAATTGTAATTTTTGACCAATTCAATTCGGAAACAGATATGTCTCATTTTGAGCATTAGAATATAGAGACTGTAGTATATCGATTTCCTATAATAAGTAAATTAGCCTACTAATTTAAGTCTTAACATGACAATGTCTGAAGGCGTTAAAAATCACTATCTGTGATACATTAGAAACATTAAAACATCTTACAAATGTTAAATTTTTTAAGTAAAATTAATTAATTTTTTAATAATTTTGTTCTCTTCCTTTTTAAAGAACGTGGGTGACAGGAATAATTTTGGTTATTTGTGGCTCAATCATATTAATTTCAAGTTCCATATGTGTCTGCTGTGTCTTTCGGAACGTCAATTGTGACAACTGCTGTTGAAAACAAATATATTCAAAAAGTTCGCTTCGGAGCCTACTGTTCTATTTCCACATTTGACTACTTTCTTACTTTTCTTAACTTCAACAAAGAGCATTGGATTGCAATAGATTTGATAAATAAATTTTATCGTTTACTAAGACTTTTCCTAGCTTTGCTTATTTTAGCTCAGTTTTAAATGCTATCGATTTCAAGTATTTGTCATGATTTTCTTTAAAGGTGAAATATTTTCAAGAAAGAGAATATTGGATAAGGTGAGTTTGGAGAGGGGGGGGAGGGGGGTTGTAGTATTTTTAAAGAATAAAATTTTTCATTGTTCCGGAAAGTAAATAAAATCAGTTGCTGAGGATCTCATAATTAAGAGCAGAGAGGCTTTAAGCTTTCAATAGAGGTTCTTTTTTCCTGATTTATGGAATTTGGTTAAGGCATACATTTTCTAGTGTAGGTCATGATCTGAAATGTGAGGAATATTGTTCGTAATTTCGAGTGCTAAGAAAAAACTCCTATTCGAAATGCAAAGCGCTTATTACAAGCAGATTTCATCCTCTGAAAATGCTGAAAAATACCGTCAGCAAGTGTGGAAAACAGTTTCTTCACCATCAACGATTGTCTCTCTTTTTCTCCCAACAGAGTCACAACAATATGATCAAGTTATTGATTTTTCACACATTGGATCTGCATCGATCAAGGTTATCGATTTTGTTTCAATGGGATTAAAACAAAGCAGGCATTACCAGAGGTGCTGCTGTCATATTTTTTATATCGATGCTACGCACACCAACAAAAAATTTTACACAAAGTTTTATCTATGGAAGTCATCATACAATGTTATTGGGAATTCTCTACTATTTTACAGAGGCTACTTTAACCAGATATTACAGTTCCTGAGCTAAATTGCTTAAGTGAGCATATTAGTACACTTTTTTGGGAAGGAAATGTGTATTCTTTGGCACAGCATTCGCATTCAAGTAAGAAAAGTGATACAAAGTATTGAAACCGAAGTTTTCTATAAAGAAACATGTGCAACTCGAGCTAATGTTTCCTTTAAACTTGAAATCGGAGAGGCATCACTTTGCAATCAGCCGGAATGTCATTTTCTCGATTGATTGAGGTAGTTTTAGTTTCCTTCAGAGCCAGTAAAGAAGGAATTAATTGATTTCGCTCGTAAAATCACTATTTGTGAATTAAATTTTTCAAATGCTAGTGTAACCACCATACTCTGTGATTTGCAATTTTTGTGCCATACAAACAAAAACGTCTTGCCATAATGCGTTTTTCTTCTGCATACACTCGATTCTTACCACTTTATGCCACAGCTTGCCAAACAAGCTATTTTTAAAATTGGCTACATGTAAAGTGGACCCATTTGTAATGCCATGTGTAGAAATTATAGAGCAATTGGTTTACCTGAAATATTGATTATGCCGTTTCAGTGACACGTATATCAAAAAGAAAAAAATGTCACTTAACTTGCTTTTTCACTCAACAGAGCTTACTTTACCCCATTAATGACAAAACCTACTTTACCGTCAAAGCTAAGTTTTAACTAATCAAAGTAAGTAATGCAATTGTGCTAGCTCATACAATTGTGCAAGTCGATTTATCAACACACACTGGATCATGTGGATAACCACAACAATAAGATATAACTACAAAAACATGAATGACGTAATATGATACGCAGCCTACGCTAATTGCTCTAATTGTGTCTTCAATGCAAAATATAAAATTTTATTACACGTTGGGAGACATTGCATGCACTATTACAAACTTTCATAACAACACCATGATGAAGAAATGAACAAAACAGAATAGTCGTGTGTGTATCGAGGATAATTCAAGATGACAAAAGAAAGTTGGAGAATCAGATTTCATAAAATCTGCCATCAAAAAGCGATATCTCAACCACCAAATACCTTCACACTACAATTCCAGCTAAATGCTATCTAATATAGTTTAGAGGGGTTCATATGAACTGTTTGAAAGGTAATAGCTGTTACCTACAGCGGCTGAGAGCAAACGTCAAGTTGTATGCTAAGTAACTATTCGAACTACAACTATTCTAACACTGAAGGTGGACAAAGGTCGTGCAGACAGACTTTATCTTTTCAACCACTTCAAAATCCAAAATATTAATGAAGCAAGAACCTTTGATGTAGTGACAATGTTTCCTGATTCCTGTCATGCACCTTCAACTTCACCTTCATAGCTGTTGGAGTCACTATTATTCAGGGGTATTTAATTCTATCAATTAGTAATCGGCCACTTTCCCCAGTATTAATGGTTGTGAAGAGGATAGCAGGAACTCATACTGATATTTTCACACTGACAAGGTACATATTTGGGAAAGTTAATTGAGAGGCTGAAAGGGGGATGGTTGGTTGGGGTGGGGAGGGGAGGGGGGAGTGAGTGGCAAATCAAACGGATGAGTTGGACGATTCGATGAAGTGTGTCCTCAACGACATGAAATATTTCTGGTTAATGAAATTGATGATGTTAATGAAAGAAGCAGAAAGGCAAATACCTCGATTTAATATACAGAAGGAGGAACCAGGGAGTTCATGTTACTTGTTGCCATCTTCAATTAATTTTCCAAATATACCACATTCGAGAATGGTACATCCCATACTTGCTGCCACAAGAAGAAGGAGGAAGCCTGTTGCAAGCAATGCAAATCCTGCGAATATTTTCCTGACAGATATTAAGAGACAGAATAGGCGTTTGAAATCTTTTAACACATAGATTAAAACATAGCTAATTTTCACATGAAATTAAAAATTCATCTAAAACAACACTTTACCGTGTTTGAGACATTTAAATCCAAATAGATTTGAAATATGTAAATGATTATTCAACAATCGCCTATTGCTGAAAGTTGGATGTAAAATATTGAAAAAAGGACAATAGATTCTGTCTGGTTAGAATTTGACATTACTTCCACCAGCTCACTGCTTAATTCAAATGGAAGAAGGAGTGCGGTGTGCTTCGAGAACAATACAACTCGATGGAAAATCCAGTGCTGAGAGAGAAAATCTTTTTTGTGAAGTTATCAATCGAAGTGAGAAGTTTTGAAATGCGAGTTTTGCATAGGCCTCTCAAAGCAGGCATAATCTTAACCAAGTCAAGTTTAGCGAATTTTGTTCAATTTAATTGTACTTCTTATTTACATACTCCCTACCTCTATCCACCTCTCTTTCTTATTCGTATTAGTGAGAGCATCATTTAGACAGTGAGTATTTGATCTTCTAACTTTGTAAACAAAGGCACCATTTCTGTCAGCTACTTACCAGCACTTGAAGCATATCTTAGATATATTTTTACTCAAATTTTCTCTCTATTATCTTGACTTGCAAACAAATTATTTAAATCTATTGTAAATATTACCTCTGTCATATCAATATGAACATTTTAGTGTGATGAAGGACTTACTTTCCAGTTGCTTGCTCCTTTTCAAAATAAGCTTCATCCTTATCGATGGAAAGATCAAGACTAACATCGAAGTAGCTGCGATTGAGGACCACCAAAACGGCTCCAGCAATAAGAAGGATGAGAGAAATAACCAGTACCACTATGGCTGTAATCTTCAGCACTTTCCTGTAAGCTTGAATGTAAGCCCCCACAGATTTCCCGAATTCTCCCATTTTCGACTTCAACGCAGAAGTAAAAAAAGGTGAATAAATTAAAGTTACAGAAGTTTTGGTGGGCCCTATTGGAAGCAATTGAACATTATGAGCATAGATTGTTATCCTATGGACACTGAATGAAACTTTATGTACGATCTCTTACCTATAAATTCTGAACTATCGATTAACCACAACCATATATTACTTCTAAATTAAAGGCTATCCAATGAGATGAAGTGGTCATTTTGTCATCAATGCAAAATCAAAACCTGGAAGGGGAATGTAAAAGACGCAAGAATGTCAATCATAACGAATCACACACACACATCTCTCCCCTCCCATCTAAGTACTTGGATTTGAAAGGCGACCACCCATTGTCCAATTCGTGCCTTGCAAATGACATAGTATTTCACTCACTCCAATTGCCAATAAATTGAACAATTCAGTGCCAAAGCACATTAATTCAAACCACGTGGCAGGAAGAGTTTACACGTCCTTTTCATTTTAAGCATGGGTAATAAAGAAGTCAAACTTGTCTTGTCCAAGTACTTGAATTTGAAGGTGAACCTCCTGGTGCTCAATTTGTATCTTGCGCACACTCTATTTGCTTCTTTCCATTTTAAACATATGTAATAAATGAGCAAGTCAACATTTCCAATTTTCCTCTGATTAACGCATTGATTATTGTCTTTACATATTAAGAGTAACTAAGAAGGCTTTCTGATGTTTTGCATATTGGAAATCGATACAGATCTAATGAAATATGAAGTTTGTGATTAAATTCAACAAGTTTTAAAAATAGCCCTTGTTATTAGTTACATCGCTTAATATCGTTATCAAGAAATCGCAAAAAAATGTAAAAATATCAATGATATTTAATATTAATGATATTTAACATTTAATACAAAGTATTTGAAAAGTTAAGACAGAAGGAGATAATATTTATAATTACACAATCTAAAATCTTTTATTGTTAATCAATAAACTGATTTATTCAAAGAGTTTAGAAAATTAAATTTAAATAATCTTTTTAATTATAATACTGCTACCACTCACCAGGGATTTACGTTTAGAAATTAAAATGTGAGTGTCTCTGATGATACTAAATTTGGCAATTTAAGCCAATTAAACATCAAGCAGATAATGTTGTCACAGAACCAATTAAAAAGACCAGCCTCCACATTTTGTCAAATCCAAGTCTGAGTTAATTAAAATTTTGCTTTGTAAAAAATTTATGTTGAGTCATTTACAGTTCGGTTTCGAGAGGAGATTGAGATGGAAGAATTGAATTGGTGAATCATAAACTTCTAGCACCATCTGTTCGAAAGAATCACCAGATGGCGTGTTTAAAATGTAATGCTCAAATTGACCTCACACGATTAGTGTTCTTCTCTTCAACGTTCAGAAAGTGTGGAGGTGGATATTGTTCTACAATTTTTTCCGAAATTCTTTCTGTGTCTACCAATTCAAAATAGATTATGGCTATAAATGTTCATTACTCAAATGATTACGTGATATATATATATATATATATATATATATATATGATGAACACTTTACGACTTTTGATAATTTAATTTGATCCAAAATGGCTAAGATTGTAAATTCGGCACCAGATGATGTATCAATGATAAAACAAACATAATTGTACAGGTGCATTTCGTCTCAAATCACTTCTTCCAGCACGGAAAACATCTGGGAAATAAGTCGTAACGGGCAGATCATATTTCAATTACAATCCATTAAAGAAAATACATAAAACGCTTGTCCAATGACTTGTTTCCTGTACCTTTGGGATTGTCTCCCTTCAAGACAATTTGACTCTCTCTGATTCGATGTCAGCAGCTTCAAAAGTTGTGAATTGACTTTGATGGGAAAATCTTGAGGGAAGTAGAATAGCTACACTCAAGTCGGGATGTCTCAAAAGGAGTTTGTCCTTAAACCAGATGTTGGGACTATGAAGCCACGTAATTTCTAAGAGCACAATTTGAAAAAGAGAGGTTTTAGCAGATCGATTGCTTGATATTAATTCATTTAAGTCAACTAATTAGTATAATCGAACCTTGGATGGGTAAAGTTGTCAGTACATCTTTAATCAAATGCAATTAAGAAATTAGACATTCACTGTCCATTCTGGAATATTGGTAAATGTCGAAGTGTGTGAGTGGGTTGTGATGGGGTACTCATTTAGCGTAAATAGTTGGAATGTGGACAACTATCGACTTGTGGAGGTCGTTTCAAAATCGATAGAGTAGGATTGAGAATTATTTGGATCAATTCAAGTGCAGCTTTAAATCTGATGCAAATTACTTCGAGGTATGAAAATGTCACAAACAGAATGAAAACAAGTATCTGAGTAGTCAACAGAATTATTATATTGCAATCAATTCCATCAGTGTGATTTGAATGATCAACCTGCAAATCATTCACAACTCAGAACACAACGTAGGGTTCTTGTCTCAGTTATGTGCCTTCTACATTCCCTAATGATGCCTCATCGCCTTTACAATCAGTTAACCGCCACGAGTGCATGTTTTTGACATCCACAAGTCTTTACCATGAAGACTGTTCCATTAGCTACGTATATGTGAAAGTTAAGGATTTTTGCCAATTGCGTCACATCATAGTCGTTTTTCTGACTTTCAAGTATGAGACTCAAGATGATGTTAAGAGATTGATTGTTATCTAATTAATTTAGTAATTGTTAAATCTACATTTTAACAAATGTATGACGGATTTTGACTTAATACGCAACCATTTTACACTAATTAGTCGTTACTTTGGAGGAATTGCAATGATTCTTCTTGAAATCTTGCTGTTGGCGTGTTCAATGATTGTCCTCTGTTGTGTCAAACAATTGAAATTAGTTCGCTTTGTCGTAGAATCTAGCAACCAAACCCAGTCTCTTAATTCCGAAACCCTTTCTCACAAATCATCACACCTAAGTTCCCCCCAATTATTTATTTTTTGCTGCATTGACATAAGTCAGGCATATAATACCACTTATTTTGTATTTCAGTATGACTCAATGAGAAGATGAAAGCATATTTGGCTGATTTCCAGGATTTAGAAAATTTGGTAAAGCTAGCAATGTTTGGTTGTGCTCAAATATAAACGAGCTTTCTATTTTATTCAACTTTATATTGAATAATCGTTCATTATCTAACCTAGTGTTTTTTTTCTGGCAGTAAATTTTGCAGCATATTATCGAATTGCCTTACTTAGGAAATGCTCTTTTAACAAGATTTGCATCGGAGTAAATGTCAAATATGCTGGTTGCATTTTGTTGCAACGTAAATTTTATTTTGAAAATGTGTGAAAAACACCCTACAACACCAGTGCAAGAACTCTTTATCTATCAATCATATTTAGGATCAATATTATAAATCAATTGGATAAAATTTCAATCTCGTGTCGACTAAATTATCTGTGCTCATTTATAATTGCCATCGAATAACTTGTCTTTTTACCTCAATTCAAACACCCACTTAAGCTATTTTATTACTAATTGACGAGCAAATTTTTTTGTCTCAACCAAATTGCTAATAAAATTTGAATAAAAGTTAGTTGTAAACGCAGGAAATGATAAATCAATACCTCTAGTCAATAAGATAAGTTGGACATTTCAAATTCTTTCCCATTCAGTCATTTGCTATTTAAACATTGTCCATAATGTGCGCCACTAGTTCACCACATGCATTTATGATTCGACTTTTCTTCCTAAAACACTGTTTTAACAGGGTTTGCCCTCTGATTAAATGTCAAACTTGCAGATTAATTTTTTATATGTGGAGATTTAATAGCTGCTGCACTATACAAGTCCCAAAGTATGCGGACATTAATAAATCGAATCACCGGCAAGTGTTTTTATTTTTAGTTGATGTTTCGCTGGTTTGTTAAATTCATTGGTAATATTATTAATAATTGCAAAGCTTTCTAGCCCTCACCTTGTGAAGAGAGTGACGTTGCGTAACCTACCTGGGGAGAGATTAGAGTTACTCTCCCACCACAAAAAGCATTCACTCACGGCGTGACCTTGACTATAAACCTGCAACTTCCAACAATTTGTTTGCAAGTATTTAAAAAAAAGAAAAAAAGAAGTTTGTTTTGAGAAAATTACGTAAAACTCTTAACAAAGCTCCAATTTGGTTGACTAAGGTAGCCCCATGCCACTAGTGCAAAAACCCCAAATTTACCATTTAAACAATTGATCAATATTAGAAACCACGAATTTCTATTCAATGGGCTAAAATGGCAAAATTTTTTAGCTAGATTATTGTTAATTGATATAGGCCGCATTGTTGTTTTAAACAAACCTTTAATCACATTTCAAATTCAAGCTGTTTATAAAAATTAGGGAGTGATTAATCAATACATCAAATCAATAAGATAGTTAGACAGGGTCGTTTCAAATGGCCTTAAGCATTCGCATAAGATGAACGTAAATGTAATCTGGAAATCGTCTGGAAATATTTTTGCAAAAAAAAGAAATAGACAAGAGGTAGAGACCCATGGGATAAAAGCTTTTAGATTACCACTCATTCCAATTATACTGAACCCTCTGTCACTCCTAACTGAATTACTTAGCATAAATAGAGGGGTAAAGAGATTGATTCGTAGTAATTTTACGGTTGTGTTATTATTATTCATTTAATGCAACCTAATTGACTTAACTATTAGCAACTTGGCTTTTATTTAAAGGAATAGTACAAACCTTTGATGAATAAAAAATTCCATATAAAAGGAAGTCTATCAGTAAATGATAATAATATATTAGAATTAAAAATTAGTGGCTAAGGCAATCGTTGAAAATAATAGAAAATCAAGGTAATCTAAAACATTGATATACCCGAGCCTAAATAATAAAGAAATTCTTGAATGACCTTCGATTTCGAAAAATGAAATAAGAAAAGTTTTCCCTCAGTTAATGATCTAATTTTTGAAATTGTGCAAACTTCTACTAGGGTATAAGGAATAAGAGCAATTCTTATTAAATTTAATCCCAATTCCTTATGAAA